TCTTCTTCTTCTTCTTCCTTCTCTCTCTCTCTCTCTCTCCTCCTCTCTCTCTCTCTCTCTTTCACTCCCTCACTCTATCTCTTTTTCTCTCGCGATTCTCGATCGCGCTTGCCACCGTACGCGCGCGCATACACGGCTCTCTCCGCGACCACGGAACGCTGCACCTTTCCGCCGACGGCGACGACGACGACGACGACACGGGCAAAGCGGATATTAGCCACGAACGCGCACCGACCAACCTCACCGTCGCTCTGCGCCGCCCCACCACTCTCCACCGTCGTCCCCTTCCGCCGCGCGCCACAGCCCGAGAAACGCGTTTCGTGCCTATCCGCGGCCCGCGACCGCTTTCGTGTCCGCTTGGAGAACACCGCCGTCGCCGACCCCGTCCCTTTCTGGAGAACGCCGACGAGACTCGGCGTGACCACCGTCGCACACCGCCGCGATACACCGCTCCGTCCGTTCTACCGACGACGCTCTTCGCCTCTACCCCCGCGCGTTCTCTCATCCACTGTTGCTACACGGCTCCGCGGATTCACCGACTCACTCGCTCGTTCGCTCGTACGTTCCGTCGCACGTTCGCTTCCGAGACACACCAGGCCCTGGCTATCGCCGCGATCGACTCTGATCGGATGTGTCATGAACGCAAGGGGTTATAGAGCCGACAGTCGACATATCGCTCGTCCGAATTATTTGTTATGTCGTCGATTGAAGTAGTCTAGAGAGACACTACTATGATTTCCTACTTCATACGCGATGGCCAATCGCAGCGCGCGAAGTGTAACCCGCGATTATGCGTCGCGATACGCGGAGCGGTTGGAGCATGCGTAGCCGGCGACCAATCGGAATGCAATTCTCATCGCGTAAAATTTCACTTGATAGTTCAAAAGTTTGAAGGAAGGTGTTGCGTACATAAGAATTTGCCGGTAACGATGAGGTAAATCCCGTTCGTGTGTCGTATATTGACGTCATATTGCGTAATAGCGGCATCACTACATCATTTAAATTTGGGAAGAGACAAACGCGGCTGCAAAATGACGAACGAAGAGGATACATTCACGTAAGCATTTCAAGTTCTTTTTCCAATAACATGATTTACGAAAAAGTAGGTTACACTTTTTTGCCGCCATTTTGCCGGAGGCTGCTCTTGCAATGTTGAAAAAAATATGGATTTAATAGAAGCAATGGGCGTCAAAGAAACGGAAATTCGGCAAAATAATAAACAGCTTTGACGGGCGATTTCAAAAGGATGATCTCGAAAGGCGTCCAAATACACAAGACTTTCTTTCAATTCACTTTAATTCATTCATTTCTTACAGCTTCAATTCATCTATATTGCATTCTGTACAATTACTTCATCATTCTCTTCCGAAGTCTTCGAAGAAGACGGTATAAATAAGAAAAAAAACTCACTGACATGTGTAGGAAAGTGTATTGTACAATTGCGATTAGGTAATCGTATGATTGGTTACAAGTAAATGTTTATTTCGGTGTCGCTCGATGCTTCTCAAAGATTCGCATGAAAAGAGAGTGGCTTCCTTCGACGACGTTTCCCATCGAGAATGTCGAAAATGAGAGGTTAGATTTGATCGGTCGCGACTTCCTTCGCGACACACGAGATTCTCAAAATCGCGCGTCATCATCGTCGACGGAGACCGGGCTGCCGAAGGCTCGCTGCTCGTCCTTGATCCTTCCTTCGGCGCCCTTCTTGCCGTTGTTGGCCCGCGATTGCGACTTGGGCGGTTCCGGTTCCGGCGTCACGAACGACGACGGCGAGTGCGATATCGGCGGGAAGGGGACGGTGGGGGCAACCGATTCCGCGGTGTCGGGGGCCGAATTGCCACCCACATCGAGGGGACCGCTCAGGATCGAATCGGGCGATCCGTTAGATTGCTCGGCGGGCATCTCGGTGGCAGCGGCGTCATCCGCGGCGGGCGGCCGGTCGCTCGGCCTCAACGGCGGAGGCTTGCCCTCCTCAGGCACCGTCGAGGTGCGCCGCAAGGTCGTCCTTCGACCTTGACTGTCACCGCGTGTGTCTTTGGTTAGTTTAGCCGGCTTTGCTCGTGCTCGAGGCGTACAGGCGGCGAGTGTCAAACATGGTATCTCGAAGAGCGATTAAAGTGTCCCTAAGCTCGGATGGAGAGCTCTTGTCTTTTCGAAATACAAAAGATAGAATATCAGGTGTAGAATTTTTGTGTCTCGCAAGTGTAAAACAGATTTATATAAGATTGATTAGATATTATTTGATAGAAATACGAAGGAAGTACAATAATATGGTTGCGTTTAGATACCATGTTTGACATAACGGTACAATAATTCAATGTAAATTGCTTGTATGTATAGTATTAAATTTTGTTCATTACACATTCACATTCAGTATACATTCACTCGAACTTTAGTTAAGCTTTTTAGAAAACAGATTCAATATATAAAATATGAAATTATTGTAATACATTATGACTTTTTGGAAAACGCTACCATTAAAAAAAAATGATTATACAATAATAGCAAAAAATATTCAAAAATGTATTCGATTAGAATTGAAAATTAAGAGAGATTACGATTACTTACTGATTTATATCTACCGGAGAGATTCTCTGCTCCGGGCTGATCATAGGCCGATTGCTGTTGTCCCACGAGTTGTGCCGTCGATGACTGCTTTTGTCCTTGTACGCTTCAGCGATGTTATTGTAACTGCCGACGATTCTACGCTTGTCAAGCTCCTTCAATACTTTTTCCGGCATACTGCCGGCTGATCTGTTGTATAGTCCGCTATTGATCGTATACTGCAGGAATGATATTTTATACGATTAAGAAATGTATTTTGCGATAGCGTATCTCGAGCATCGTGTACATATAAAAGTCGGCATCGCTAACGTGTTATCATTATACATTCCAGATGCATTTTAATCGCACCTTCGAAAAGGAGTACACCGGACTGGGAGCAGCGTTCGGATTCATCCAGATGTTGGTCGCACCAGGTATGTCTTCATTATTTTCATTCAATAATTCCGCCGAATAGGAAGGTCTCGCTGGTATTATCGGCGATCGACAGCACACCCTGTGAAAAAGTTATAAGAATTTGCATGAAAACGTAATACATACAAAATGTTGACAAGCTTGGAAAAGATTAAATAACAAAATACGAAATGCACAAGATAAAGAAAAATTTAATTCGAATATTGTACTGTTAATTTCGTAAAATGTATTTCGAATATAAAATGCGCGGAATATTATTATTTATTTTATTTATTTTATTTATTTTATTTAATCCTTGCCTTAGGATGGCTTCCGGTACATCATACATTCTTTCTTTAGTACAAAAATATAAATTATAATACAATATAATACCAAACAAAACATCTTGGCTCCTCTCTTACAAGCTTTCTACCAGCTTTCTACTTACAAACTTTTATTTAAACTTAAATCCTAAAATTCTAAATCTTAAATCTACATCTGAACTAAATCTAAATCTAATTTGCTGTTGAATTCTATCCTCCATTCTAAGGATCTCTAATCTAATCTCTCGCAGATCAACTCAACTTTTAATCAACTTTTAATCAACTCTTAATCAATTCTGAAATAAACTCTTAAATATACTCTTTAATAAACTCTTAAATAAACTTTGAACTTTAAACTTTGAACATTCAATTCTTTGGCTTTAGCTTTTATTTTATATATTTATTTATTTTAACTGATTGCCCTGTCTTTTCTTTCTTTTTCTTTGTCTTTGTGACTTCCTTCCTTTTTTTCCTTCCCTTCTGATTTCTTTCCTTTCTCCTCCGCGCGGGATATTATTAAAAATTTATGTCTCTTGAAAGTATAAAATTGGGTGATATTTTAAAAAACGTATAACTGTGTGAGATATTTTTTAAAATTCAAGCACAAAACAGCGTGTATTTATCTTTAACACTTGTGCTGAAAAATATCGTATGGGCTTACGAATTCACGTCTTCGAGTTTCTTGAGCAATCTTTCGTTTTCCCGACAAACGAGTTCCTGGTCTCGTATCACCTGGTCCCGCGTGGCGTAGAGCTCGGCGTTCTCGCGGCGCAACGCCTCGTTCTCGGTGATGTACGCGTGAATCAATTGGCTCAGTTCCGAGGTGTCCATCTCGGCCAATTTATCGAAGTCGACCGGTGGCGGTGTGACGGGTATTCGTTCGGCTTAAAAATTCAGCGATCAATTAGCGAGAGTGACGGCAAAACAAAACCACAGAGTCGAATTCTCAATCTTCGAAATGAGAAATTGATTGAAAAGCTTCTCAATTACTTTTACTGTATTATTAGAACGTTATTTGTGTATTTTGACAATTTATCAAACTGCTTGATTCTCTTCAAGTATATGAAAACTTCGATTCCTTTTAAATATTTTTTGTAGAACGAAATTCTACACGCTAATTTCTTTTAATTTGACGAACAATCCGTGGATTTAAATAATTTTTTGCGTTTAACGTTATCGATACACAAAGATATTAACGAGTGTGTTGAAAAGTTGCGATTCATACTTTTCGATTCGCTACGGATTATATTTTGAGTCTCATTGAGATGAAGAGTCATCCTCAGGTGCTCATTCTCGGTCTGAAGAGCTCCCACCTCTCGCTTCAGGCTGAGGATCAGAGCTTCGCGTGGATCCTGAAAATAAGGCACACGTTTCGAAAACGTATTTCTTCGAAGATTTGGAATTTGCTCGAAGCAACTGTGTTTACCATCACTATAATGGGTTTCGTAGAAATCTTTTTGGCTCTCGCGGCGTATCGCAAGGTGTTCAAGGTCTCGTTGGCGTTCGAACGAGCCGGCGAAACGCAGGCGATCTGGACAAAATAAATTAATTATCGTTAAGACAAAATTAGAATTCTTTACGAAACTCAAGCGGTCTGAAAGGCTAAGAATTTATTTATTAATTTCTTTTTTCAAACCAAGTAATTGTAATCGATTTCTTGCAAATTGAAGAAGAATAATTTGAATTCGCTCCATAATAAATTCTCTTTCTATTCTCAACGATTAGGAAGTCAAGTTTTTGTGTAATTTATTTCTAATTTTACCTCGTCTACCGATTCTTTTTAATCCATTAGTCTTTTTAAGAAATGTTTGGCGTAAAATGTCATTAGCAATCCAAGGTGGATTGTTGTCGTAATGTATTAACATTCATCGCGTACGTGTTGCGCGGGCGATAAGTGTCCGCAGAAATACGCTAGCGTCGATCGCGATATCGATTTTGGAAAAATCGTTACGAAATCCCGATTATCTACTCACCATCAATGTGACGCCATTTCCGGCGAGGCTATCGGCTAAAAGCTTCGTCAATTTGCTGTCCCGATAAGGGATGTGGCCTCCTTTTCGTTTCCCATCGCTCAAGGAAGCGATGCAGTATCCTGCGCGAGCGCAAACGACATTTACACAATCGATAAAAATCAAACGTGTGCGAGAAAATTTCCGTAATTTTGTCGCCGCTATTAGCAAAATTGTGTTCGCGAAAACTTCCTTGTTGTTTTATTTAGCGGCCGTAATCGCGAAGTATAAAAAGTTCATCGATTATTTTCCATAGGCGGGAAGTACGCGGGGCACGTCACTTTTCACATGTCAATAACTTAATAGTCCATCCATCTATCGATCTTCAGCTATTCTAAATAATAGACGCATCGCAATTTCAAAGTCAAGATCTAATGCAATTTCCTGTCCATAAATTAATCATTATTGCCACTTTATAGCAAAATGGAGCGCCGAATGTGACGCGAATTGCTTGCATCGCGCGTCGGGATTAGATTATTGCGTGTAAAAATCGCGCTTCCAACGAGCTTCAGTTTTACAGCGTTTAACGAGCTTTGTTTGAAGGAAAAAAAATATTTTTTAAACTCTTAGAAAATATCGTGGATAATTGTTGATGAATGAGAGACTGGCTTTACCTAACACCATCAGACTCTTGTTGATGTTATTCGCCTCTTCCAAGGTTTTGCCCTCGCTCTGAGTCTTCTTCGTCATCTCGCTTCCGGCAAGATCGACGAAATTGATTTTGCCTTGCTTCGAGATGAATACGCCATTCTCCATCTACGAAAGAAACTTATTTCAATCTTCGTTATAAATTAATTTAATTAATCGCGCGACAAGAAGAGAAAACAAATTGGACAAAATTGATTTTCACTGTAAAATTCGACGCTATTTTTAGTGTTTGATTATCTTGAAATGTTGGGTGCTTTTGTTTTAGAGATTTGCTCCCCGGGGAAATATATGTGATAAGCGCGACCCATCGTATTTGCTTACCGCTTGTTCGGAGGTGATATATACAGTCAGAATCGAGTGGCTCCTGCTGGAATATTCATTCATATTGTGCGTACCGATAGATCTATTTCTCATTCCTGCAAAAACATTATTATTCTTGACAAAGTTAAAACAAATTTAATTAATAATATCAATAACAGATATCAAGAATCACAATCTTCTTTGGTTGAGATCCTCCTGCTATTCCATCGTTTTGAAATTTGCGAGCCTAAACTTCAAGTTATTAAATTTAAATAACTAATTTAAATTTAAATTTAAATTTTTATTTAAATTTAAATAGTTAATTTAAATGGACAGTTGAGAACATGGTGACTTGAGATTAACACCGCAACTGCAATTTCTCACAATCACATAAGTGATCACCAGTATAGACCTCAATAATGGTGAATTGAATCAACATAGTTTTAAGTACAGATTAAAAGGAACACTGAAGATGGTTGAATGATCAGCCGAAACGTTTGTTCTAACATTGGTGTAATAAAAAATATATATCAAGAAATACGATCTACTTGGGCTTGAGATCCTCCTACCACTATATCTATTTAAATAATTAATTTTAACAAAATTAAGATGTCTCCGAGCATCTCGCATGAATAAAATTGTTAATAAATTAACGGAGAACGTTGGAAAACCAATAAAAATAATTAATGTATAATATTTTAATCGTTATAATGTCAAACGATGGAAATATTCGCGAAGTAGAATCTTGCAGCTTCTTCGTAAAATCACTTTTTTCTCTCACCTTCTTCGAGAACAGCCAGAAGATCGTCCAGTTCTTCGCATTCCACCGTGAACAAATTCTCGACGAAGAATCCGCGTGTTTTTTTACTCCAGCGAACCGCCAGCGGTTTTCTCGAAGTTCCGGGATTTAAGAGATCTATCACCTATTTTTTTATTAAATTTTTCTATAAAAACTCGCTTACGAATTTTATTTGTATAAAATGAAAGAAGACTTGTTTACGGCAATAATCGCTTATTTTGCTTTACATAAAACTCAGAAAGAACAATTTATTTTAAAGGCGGACTGACCTTCTCATTGTAGATTTCCAGAAAGGAAGCTTTTAGCACGAAATTGCACTTCTCGTGTTCTTGAAGAACTTTAAACAGGTAGACGAAGGAACGGAAGACCAAACCGTGGTCCTCCGAGTACGGATCCATCTTGTCGAACTGTCAAATGATTCCATTAACTTACAAATATAAAAGCCCGACATGTATACAAAAGTAAATAGATTTGACTTCAATTATTTAATAATAACAACTTGACTGACTTAATTTTGCAACAACATTACTCTTCATATTTTATCTGATTAAACATATATTAAAATTAATGATTCGCTAATTATTTCAAGCGATATTATTCATTCAAGATTTTCTATTCCACAATCATTATATTCTAAAAGGTTGAAATTTCATGATGCTTGAAAAAGCGCAGATTGGTGTGATTTTCGCAGTCTCGTTTGCAGAGAGACGCTTTCTGAACTTTTTTTAACCGTCCGCATTTCTTTTATGCAAACTTGACACATCGAATATACAAAGGCGCGTTTGTTCGGTTGCGAGAGACAATATTACACATGACTTAGACGCGTCGTATTATCTTATCTACAAAAGACGATCAATTTTAACCTTCCCACTGAATACGTAGCTATCGATCGTTAACGTCACCATACGTTTTACGTATCCTATTGTCTTATGCACATGCGGCGCCATTGAAAGAAACTTTAAGTAATTTTAAACTTCGACGTTTTCTCCCGGGAAGTAACATTATAGCTTCGAAGCGCCCAAGAACAGTCTCGATTCAAGTTGTTCGACTCGAAAACCGTTAAAATATTAATGAAAAAAGAGCGCTAAAAGAATCCGAAGTGTGGAAAAACGGTGTCTTTCTTCGCTTACGAGTCTCGGAGGTCCAGTCAGAGTATGCGTTTTGCCACTTCCGGTCTGCCCGTAGCAGAACGCGGTGCAGCTGAAGCCTTCCACCGCCATCTCGATGAGATTCTTAATGCCAGTGTACTGCAGGATGTCCTCCTGCGTGGCATTCGGTTCGAAAACGACGTTGTAAGAAAACACTTTTGGCTTCTTGTCGCCGCTGCTCGAAACCGCATCGCACTGTAAAGAATAACATTGGGTGTTTCGCTCCGAGACGGCTGCCTCTTGTTATCGATAATAGATTAGAAAGCGAAGAAAAATAAGTGAGGAGGAATCGTGCTGATTTCATCGCGAGAAAACTATGCCGTTGGCATTTTCGGGACGATTCAATTCGTCGCACTTACGTATATTTGCCCGTCGCCAGGAAATTGCACGGCCATTTCGTCGCCGGCTTTAATTTCCTTATTGCTGAGCGGACGCACTCTGAAAAAAGGGGGGGTAGGTATTGTTGTAACGGAATCGAGTTCATTTCAATCGGACTAATATTAGAACGAGTCGAGTCAAATACCTGACGACGACATTTATGTTGTTTTCTGGAAGCAGATGCTTGGTCGCGATTATCCGCCTATCGCCGTCCACCAATTTTTCGATGCTACCAACCCTGAAAGCACGTAACGACGTTATCTCCGCGATATACATCGCTATTAGTTTTATTCCTTTTAGATAAATAAATTGTTCTACACGAACGAGTAAACGATAAAATTGTAAAAATAATTATTAAACACGATCTTATATATACAAATATTATTCGTGTGATAAAAATTTTTGAAGCATTATTTTTTTCTTGTTTTGTCCACTTGAAGCGAGAAAAGAGAAATAACTATTATTTATCATTTCTCAAATCTAGAGAGGTTTCATATTTCATCGTTATTAGAAGTAATTATCTGTGAAGACAGAATATGACGCGCTGTTACTTATTTTGCATAATTAAAAATCACCCTGTAGATCTCCGTGTGATCGATCGACTTCCATAATTAACGATGTAGATAGAATGTCGTAGGAATTGCAGTTATATTATCATTGCGTCTACGGTTACTGCTGGTTCTATTATTAAACGCAATCGTCGATCTAATTCCGCAAATTAACGGCATTTCATGAATACGCGATGGCGAGCGTCCGATGCGGAAATGCTCAGTCAATCGTTCGATTGACCTCTAATCGTGTGCGGCCAGCTCTCATAATTCACGAGGCCTGATCGAAGTGCATCGAGTCGTGTTCGCGTGTTTGGCCGCGCGGTTCAGGCGCGATTCCTTTTTCATTGCGGCCGCACTGTGCCGCATCTCCGGGAACGAGCCGATTCGAAATCGATGCTGATAAATATCGAATCGTTTAATCGATCGCACAAATCAGCGATTCTGTGAAAAAGTCATTTCTCTTGTTGCGACTACGCGAGTCTTGTGTTTCAACAGGAAATTTCTATCAATGATATCAACGATTTTTTTAAATTAAAATACACACAGAAAATTACATACTGTATTTAAGTAAATATTACTTGTTTTAAGTATTTTATAAGTTCATATATCCGCAAATCTATCGTAAGTTCATCATAAGCATCAAATTTATTCAAAATATATTTTGATCCTAGTAAGTTTAATACTTTAATCAAGAATATTAAATTTAAAAAGAATTCTATTTGCTTATTAAATTAACCAAATCTGACTTTTCTTCGATACAATTTTATAATATTCTTCACCAAAAAATAATTACTTCTTTTGAGTATATGATAATGAGTTTATCAAAAATTTGTGATAAGTATATTTTAAGACTATTATCAAGAAAATATTCTTTATTAAAGATAATTGTTACTTAAAAAAAGAAAAGTAAGCCGAGTAATTACTTTTCTTAGCAATAGAATGATATTTTTCTGTGTGTAGTTCGGTAACGTTTGTCGAAGCGTTTCTCCGAATGAAAAATTATCTCACAATTTTGCAGATTTCTATACAAATTGAAACACGTTTTTGTAAAGAAAATTATGCTACTTCAACATAAAATGCATATTTTATAAGTTTCCGTAATATTAAAACTTTCGAAATGCAATATTTCATATATATTAGTTTAATTCTTGGTTTGTCTGATTTGTGAGTCTCATTATTTGCCCAATACATGAGTCACGTACAAAACGAGTTATCATTTTAATAATCATCGCGCTGCACGTGAATGCCATCGCGCGCTTTAACGTCGTTTTTAAGAGACTCGGTCGTCATAAAAATCCCTCGGTTTGCCTCGAGACTCATTATTCTTTCTTGTCTTCATCGTGATATTAATTAACGTACGCATATGTGGGCGGCACAATGGATGTACGCACATTTATGGTATAGTTTGATACCGCCTATCGATTGCGGGACCTTGCTATGCGACCTCTCAGTTCTTACTGTCGGTATCGCGATGACCGTCTCGTGTACAAGTGTAAATATCTCCATGTGTCACTCATGTACTTTTTTTTATTTATTAGACATAAAACGAGATACCAGGAATAGAGCACTAAATATCTTTATTTAGATTCAAACATTGAAGAAAATACGCGAAACGATACTTCAGAAGCTGCAGATTTGTCAAAATTGAACGCAAATTAAATCAAATAACTTTAAATAGAAAGAAAAATTTATTTTTTGACGCTGAGATTTTTTAATCTTAATTTTAAAACAATACTACGATGTATTGTATTTATTGCAAATATTAGTTGCAATATGTAGAAATGTAATAATTCCATTTAAAAAAAAACACCAAATTATTGATTTTGATAGGTTTGCAAGGAATTATGTTTAATTTTGTCTTTCGAAATCTTGGCAACGAGTTGTAGATTTTTTTACGTCGTCGAGTTTTTTTTCATATCCTCGATATTTTTTTTACATCCTCGAGAGAGACACTCGTTCTGTTTTTCATCATGATTCACTTTGTATACATTTCGCGACAGTATTTACACTCCGCGATGATGGAGCTGAGTTTTCATGGTCAGGAAAGCAGATGAGATTAAATTGACGCGCAAACTGTTATACAAATACAGTCGCGTGTCGACTGTAAATTCAGGACTGTAAAATAAGTATTGTCGCGCGACCGGGTGTCGGTAATGCGGCGACATTTCATGAAATATTTAGATTTATTATTGCGGTTTGCGTGATATATTTTTTGTAATCGGAAAATCGAAAAACATGCTCGGGGCTTGCGAGTGTTCTTACAATATTTCTATGCGGTTTAAATATACATTTCTTTTTATTAAAAACAGTTTATCGAAAGTAATTTACACATCAAACTGAATAATTCAATTTTGTTCAGAGATTGCATTTTCAATACAATTCGTGCAAATCGAAGAAATAAATGCAGAATAAATGAGTGATATTACGAAATAGTGTTTTTTTTTTCTACCGCGCAACACATAATGCAACATTTTGCAAAGTAAAATATGAAATTATGTCGGTTCTGAGGAGAAAAAAGTTGCGTGGTCCCGCAATCAATAAACAAGGTGAAGTCTATGATGCCGGAAATGCGCGTCGTCACACGTGTAAGTTGTTTTTCATATCAACAGCACGAGGCTTACACAAGCAGCCCTGCGTAAAATTGAATACAAGCAGCAAACCTGCGAGTTATTGTCTTTCTTAATGGCCGCATCATGTGTCATCTTTGTCCTAGATCTTCCGAACGATTTCCAGCTAGGCCAATCTTTCCTGTCGTTTAATTTTTTCTCGCGATACCGCAAATTGATCGAGCAGTGGCGCAATAGCGCGCTTTTACGACATTAAACCGCGAATAGCCGTAAAAATATTAAATTTTTTTTGCAGACAAAAATAATTTGTATTCTACGTATAAAGTGTAGAAAATACAATGTGTGGACAGAAATTATGCGTTGTTTTTAAGCTTATAATTTTGCTTAATATTTTTGAAGTTTGAAGCGAAGCATATATTTTTTTCGTTATTTTTGATTGGTTTTCTCGACTGGTTTCTCTTACGTAAGCACAATCGATTTTAACGCAAGCGCTAATCGTACGTGAAATACTAAGCATCGATTAGAACTGTCAATTTCTCTGAGAAGTTATATCAATCTCCGCGCTGTTTATTAATTTCGCTCTGCAATCATCGTTCCGATGTTATCGTAAATCAAAGTGATAAAGCACGATATTCCCGATAATCACGATATAAGTCTACTTTTCCATCGAATATTTGCGCGAAGCTAATGTGTGTCTGTGTGTGTCATTTCAGCTTGTCACGTATTGATCGATTGTCGAAACTTTTTTTCCTTTCCATTGAAGTTTATCGTCCTCGCGATTGTACAAATCATCAATACGTTATTCCATTTCGTACTCGACAAAACCCGTGGGTTTTGTCGCAAATGCTTTTTTTTTACACAGTAATAAGTTTAATTTATTTGTGAGAAAGAGAGACGTGTGCGAGGCGCAATTGTCAATTTCCAACTTGTTTGCCTATTGTCGTTGATTTTCTTTTTCCGACGGCATCGATATGTCAATGCTTCGTCATTTCGATTGGGTGAATTTATGTCGCGGTAATTCGAAGGCACCGAATAATACGTTGTCCTTTGAGTTTTTCATGAGACGAGAAAATGTCGATACTTTATCGAAGATAGCCTGACACATATCAAAAGAGGGCAATTATATTTATATCGTGACAATGCGAGTTTGCGATAATATCGCTCATAAATTTGTCGCTGATACGAGTCTTCCGACAATTAACTTTTTTTTTTTTTTTTTTTTTTTTTTTTTTTTTTTTTTTTTTTTTTTTTTTTTTTTTTTTTTTTTTATTATTATATA